CTTGAAATTTGATCCAATAGCTAAAAATAAGGGCCCCCTTTAAAAGTTATAATAATTTTAGCCGTTGAATAAAATTTTAAGAGCCCGGATTGGTGGATTTGGTGGAAAGGATCCAGAGTGGATCCCTTTCCCTTTTGGTCTTTCCCTAGTAGCTAGTCTATTTTATAATTAAAAAATGGTAAATAATCTCAATGACATACACGGTAAGCTTTAATTAAATAGTTTTATATTGTAAGTAGCATTTTACCGCGATAATGAAAATTAATTATGTTTGTATTTTGGTGCGGATTCAATCTCTGTCGACTTTCTCTCATTCTAACAACTAATTATTTAACTAATCAACGCTATCATTCTACTAGTTTTATCTTTCAAACGTTACTTCTAATAACCTCTACTAATACAAATAGTTTGTGAGCTAAACTCAATGAAGGGTGATAGTTGGTTTACCCAAGAGGTTAAGGGGGAAGACTTAAGGCCATCTCCAACCGAAGGAGGGCTAGAGGGCTGTCTTTAGCCCTATAGCCCTCCAAGAAATTAATATTTTAATGAACAATGTCAGGCTATATTTCTTACCATCTCCAATCGAGGGGGCCAAAGGGCCATAGACCAAACATAACTATGTGATAAAAAACCATCTTCAACTGAGGAGGCCAAAGGGCCATAGGCCAAACATAATTTATTATTTTAATTGAGTTAATATGGTTACTTAAATTAAACTACCTCAATAATTTTTTAGATAGGATTTCGAGTGACACGTGTCACTAAAGTGAGTAACTCTCCAGATTTCTTGTCAATATGTAGTCTCAATAATTTTTCAGATAGGATTTTGAGTGTCACGTGTTGATATGTGAGTAATTTTTTAGATTTCTTAATGATATGTAATCTCAATTTTGAGTGCCATGTGTTGATATGTGAGTAACTTTGTAGATTTCTTATTGATATGTAATCTCAATAATTTTTCGGATAGGATTTCGAGTGTCATGTGTCGAGATGTAATTGGTTGTGCAGATTTTAGATAGGATTCTTATTTGTGTGGTACTTCTTATCTTCAACTTCCACTGTCCATAAATAAGGTGGATATTGGGGTATAATTCACACACCCATCTTTGCCATTTCCAATATCTCTTTCAATTCAAGTTTGCAATGAATTCCAACTTTGGATCCTCTTCGCATTCCAACTAGGAGTCCTTATCCAATTCCGAATTGGAAGATAAATGGGCGTAGATGAGACGAGAAGATGAGGAGTTTGATGAAGAAGATTAAGCATGGTGCAACACAACATATATGGCAACAATGGCTAGGGTCATGGCGTGTGAGGCAACTGAAGAACAACCTCAATGAGGTGGCTCTATTGCTAGTCGCTCTTACAAACCACGAAATAGAGAGATGGCACATGATACTCTGATGAACAACTACTTTAACCCTAACTCGATGTACACCGAAGAGGATTTCAGACATTGCTTCTGGATGAGGCGTCATGTCTTCGAGCATTTACTTCATGATGTCTAACACGTCAATCCATACTTTCGAGAGAAGTTGGACAGAGCAGGCTGTCCTGGTTTCTTACCTCATCAAAAGGTTACTATTGTACTCTGAATGTTGGCATATGCCTCCACAGCTGATGTGATAGATAATACATATGATATGTCTGAGTCTACATGCCTTGATAATCTTGTTGAATTATGTCACACAGTTGTTCAGATTTATAAAGAGGAGTACCTCCGTAAACCAAATCAAGCAGATCTGGATCGGTTCTTTCGCAAAGCTAAAGACCATGGCTTTCCGGGCAAGATAGGGTCATTAGATTGCATGCATTGGCAATGGAAGAATTGTTCCACTGGATGGCAATGAGGCTTTAGCGAAAGATCGAGAAAGACAACTATTGTGTTATAGGTGGTTGTCTTGTTTGACACATGGATCTGACATGCTTTCTTTGGAGTCCCAGGATCCCAAACTAACATCATAGTACTTGGGCATTCACCCTTCTTTAATGCTGTTTAATGGCTTAGGTAGTTATAGCAAAAAAAAAATTAGAATTTTTTTTTAATTTTGTCAAAAAAAAAAACAAAAAATTCAAATCCAACGGTAACCTGGTGTCAACAAGCCATTGCTAGCTGGCGTCGTGTTGACGCCAAGTAACCGTTGGCATTTGAATTTTGGGCCGGCCCGGGGTTGGCTGGATTGGGCTAGCCGATTGGCCTAATTTCCCATTTTTGGCTTGGTGGGGCACACGAGCCCTTTAGCCTAGCCTTCTGTTGGAGAAGGTTTTTGTGTCATTTTGAGCTATTTTTAGCCCCATAACCCTTTGGCTGGGTCAGTTGGAGATGGCCTAAGATCTTCCTCACATACCCACAGCCAGCAAATCTTAAACCTTTTTCCATTCTTTTTTCTTTAACTTTTTATAGAAATATAGTCAGGGCAACCCCAACAATTTCTTTTATTTTACATCATCTACTTGTTTCAACAATCCATATCCTGGAAGGGATCCTCTCCCCCAAATCCACCAATCCAGACCCTTGAAAATTCATCCAATGGCTAAAGTTATTATAACTTTTAAAGGGGGGGCCTGTTTTTAGCCGTTTGATCAAATTTCAAGGGTCTGGATTCGTGGATTTGGTATTAAAAAATAATTGAGTCAACCATTAATATTTCATTATACATAATAATCTGCATTGTCCATGAAATTATGATATTAAAGTTAAAGGAAAAATTTTATAGGACAACAATAAGGCCAGCGATGCTTTATGACATAGAATATTGGGCGATCAAAAAGCAACACGTACCAAAAATGAGTGTAGTAGAGATGAGAATGCTTTCATGGATGCGTCGGCACACGAAAAATGATGGGATTAAGACAAGGATATCCAAGGTAAAGTTAGAGTGACCGTAATTGAAGATAAGATGAGGAAAATCAGTTAAGAGATTTTGAAACATGAGCTGAAGACCTAGCAACGCTCTAGTTATAAGATGCAACTATGATACATATGTTCCAAGCAAAAGAGGTAAAGGAAGACCTAGAAAAAGACTTTGAAAGAGACTATAAGAAAATATATGGAGTATTGGGAGCTAACCAAGACTTGGAACAAAACCTAACGCAATGGCGTTTTATGATTCATACAGCTAATCCCATTTAGCGAAATAAAGCTTGATCGTTGTTGTTGTACATGAAATTATGATATAAATTTAAACCACATAAAAAGATGTCACTAAATTATAGAGATGCAATAAACTATAAGTTTTCATTTAGTTAAAAAAATTGTAAATTTTCATTTGTATTGATGAATTTAAGAAAATGGTCAAATATAGTGTTATAGCATAAATCATAAAAGTATTAGTTTTTTTTTTTTTTACAGGGTAAAGGTATTAATTGCAATGTATTTGATTAGATACAATTATGGACTCAAATTAATTAAACTTTGTACGATTAATTATTGAATTCTATGCATCCCACTTTTTACTTATTTTCAGAAGAAAAAAATACTTGGCTTCTTTCTATGTATAAGTCTTTTATTTTTAACAAACGATACAATATCTATATTAAACTACAAAGAGGGAGATTTGAACATGAGGTCTCAGGTGTAAGAATAAATGCTATTAACCAATTGAGTTACAAACCACTTGTTTCTATAAGTCATTTCTCAATTCAACTTGAATTTTGAGTTTTTTTTATATACATATTTTATCTCCTTTTTGTACTTTTGATGAGTTAATTTGTAAATTTGTAATAGGTAATGCTATCCACACATTTTTTTCAATTTCTAATCTTCAAGTCGAATAAATTGAAGAAGATCAAGAATTAAAAATTAACAAAAATATGTGGAAGACAAAAGTAAGTGTGTTAATAACACTATCCATTCGTAACAATGTATGTGCATAAGGAATGGGTCAATTGTAACCTGAGTCTTTTTGTATCCAAATTTTCATAGGTACAAAATCATATACAATACAGAAGTTTAAGACTTGCGAGCAATTACTACACGAGTAGAGTAGCAACCTCTCCCTGAAAAATCAAAGATAATAATAAAATAGTAAACTTTTAAAGCCTAGTGCCACTTATCATTAGTAATTGCGATCAAGCCATTAGGGCCAGGACAAGCTACATGATTAGCGTACTTAATTAATTAGATTAGTGGTTGGCAGGAAAAAAAAATAAATAAATAATTAGATTAGTGTACAAAACAAATTTTAGGCAAAATAAAAAAATAAAACAAATTTCAGGCCATTGGATACGTGTAATCTTAAATAATTGGAATAGTTTCTGATCTCTATGATCCAAGCCAGAAAGCAAGTTACCTAACCCAACCCAACCCAAGACCGAACCACCATGTTTGGGACCCAAATGAGAAATAAAAATAAGAAGATGTAATTAAAGTTTGGCCCCTGAAGTTTAGTGGTGGTTTCACTTTGATCCTCAATTTTGTCGTCCCAAGTTGATCACTGAAAATTTGAAGGTACGTTAAATGATGACATTGTGACAAGTCAAATTACAAAATTCGACAAGATGTAAATGGCTAGTATAACTCAGTTCAGCTAATTCCTTGGTTGGAGTTGATTGTTGTGGCAATTATGTAAACAAGAAAATTGTTTGGAACGACTCGAAATCAATGTATTAACAAAATGAGTAGTTAGATTAACCAAGTTGTGCTACTATTAAAAGTGAGCTTAATCACATCAGTTGATTTTGCGTTGTTGATTTTATCTTTAAATCATACTCACTTTTAGAGAGGTCACATGCCAATAGTAAAAGACTTGTCAAAGTATATGGGTTACCCAAGAACCCTAAAAGCAGCAATAATCACATGTTATTTAGTCAGCTTTTGTAAAAAAAATCACTTTTGATCATTATAAGCATATATTAAAAGACGGTTAATTTTTTACCAAAAAAGAGGGAAAGACCAAAGTGAAAAAACCTTAAAACTTTGGGGGGCAAATTCTGATATTAACACAAAAAACCAAGAACGAAAAATGAAAGTAAAATAAAAAATAGAAAATAAAAAAGATTAATATTTGGGGATGCGGCTCTACTCGGGGACATGGAGTCCTGTGCAACCTGGCAGCAAAGCAATGCAAGCTCTCACCTTCACCTCTCTTCTGCAACCCCAACACCACCACCATCGCCATCGTCATCTTCTTCTGCCTCTTCCCTCCCATTGAATCCCCAATCTTTCACCGCCGCAGATTGAAAATTCCAGAGAGATCTCAACCACCCATTTGGGTTTCCAAAGGACCCAAATAATTCCCCAAATCGAACACCCTTTTGGAAACCCAATGCTGCAAAACCTGTGATTTTTTTTGAATCAACAGAGAGTGCAGTGAAAAGGGTTGAGCTCTGAGGGAGAGAGGGACTTGAGAAAAATGAAAGCGAGCCAGAAAGATCAAGAGAAAGTGATTTGGGATCAGATGCGGAGCTCCACAGGGACCCCGATTCCTGGACCCGGCTCCCAATCTAGAGCTACCCCTAAACTCCTCGTCTGGCTCATCCTCTTCGTCTCTCTCACTTACGTCGTCTACACTCTCAAGCTCGTCTCCACCTCACGCGCCGCCTGCTCAGACGACAGCGACCCCTTCAACCCTCTCCGCATCTCCTTCTCCTCCTCCTCCGCCAACACCACCACCGCCCAAGATCGGACTTCCCAGATTCTCCAGCTCAAAACCCAAAAACCCGATAAAGCAAACCAGCCGACGGAGATAAACGACATCATTTTCGGCATTGCCGCCTCCGCCAAGCTCTGGGAACAGAGGAAGAACTACATCAAGCTCTGGTACAAGCCCAAGTCGATGCGCGGGATAGTCTGGCTGGACCGCGAAGTTGAGGATAAAAACCCGGAAGGCGCCGGCCTCCCGCCGATTAAAATCTCCGGTGACACCTCCGGGTTCACCTACACCAACAAACAGGGCCACCGGTCCGCGATTCGGATATCCCGGATCGTGAGCGAAACGCTGCGTCTTGGCCTCAAGGACGTGCGGTGGTTCGTGATGGGCGACGACGACACCGTTTTCATCACCGACAACCTCGTCCGGGTCCTGAGGAAGTACGACCACACGCAGTACTATTATATCGGGAGCTTATCAGAGAGCCACCTGCAGAACATTTTCTTCTCGTATGGCATGGCGTACGGCGGCGGCGGCTTCGCCATCAGCTACCCGCTGGCGCTGGCGCTGAGCAAAATGCAGGACCGGTGCATTCAGAGGTACCCCGGACTCTACGGCTCCGACGACCGAATGCAGGCGTGCATGGCGGAACTCGGCGTCCCACTCACTAAAGAACTCGGATTTCACCAGGTCCGTACTCTAATCTGTCGGTGGGTGCTTAATTTGATTTGTTTTTGCCTTAATTAGTCGTAATTTGGCTTCAATTTATCTGTTTTTTTTCAAATGAAAATTATTATTAGTACTCGAAAAGTGTCATTCTACCTTTCAAAATTTCCTTCAAACTTTCTTTATTGGAAGGGGCATACATCTTTTTTTTTACTTTTCACATATCTTTTTTTAATTTATATTCATTAATCTTCTTCACTTTATCCGATCTAATGGCCGAAAATGGGTGAAAAGTAAAAAGAGTTGTGTGGATATTACATTCCTATTAGAAAAGAAAAATATATTTATGAGGAGGAGAGAATGAGATTTTTGAAATGTTAGTAACGGTTCTCTTCCAATTACGCCCAGCAACTCCCGAAACTAAAGAGTTTCGGCCGAGATATTGACCGAAACACGACTTGGGTCAGTGTCGGTTTGGCTCTTAGTGTTTGCATTGAGTTCTGGAACTACAATTAATTAGCGTTCCTTGATTAATTAAGTATTATTGAGTTAATTAATGTTTAATAATCTTCTTAGTTCGATAAGTATTGTCGAGTTAATTAATGTTTAATCATCTTCTTAGTTGGATAATTCCCGATTACGATACTTTCCGGTTTCGGGAAATCTAAGGCCGAGGGTAATTGAGTTTGTCGGGCCGGTTCGTTCTGTCGGTTTACTAGGCGGGTGATTTGCTCAATGCTGTTAATGCTCGGTTACGAAGACGACGCGGTGGGCCCCACTTGAAATAAGAGGTTAGACCGGGTTTTTGTCTCGCAGCTCACTACGCAACTACACAGTAGCTGTCCGTGCACGCCACGCTCCTTCAGCGAGTGAGCAGTGTCCCGACTAGACAATTGAATGAGTAAAACATAAGTTTTACCCAACCCCATTTATGTGGGCGGTCTGTTGAGGTGGAAAGGGTTCAAACTTTGTGGTCTTTTTTTTATAAATTTCTCCTATAGTACATTGAATTATAGTAGACAATGGTGGATTTGTTGGGAGCTTTAGGTTAAACCGATATATGTTTTGCATCGAAATAATGTAGATTTAGTTTTGCATCGAGAAAATCGGTTTAGGTGGTTTGCACATGTGAAATGAGGACTACAAATGTTCCGGTTAAAAATGTGATTACAAGATAGAGGCTGAGGACCAAAGGGGTATAGGAAAACTTGGAAAGAGACTTTAAGAAAAGACTTGGAGTACTTGGTTCTAATAGAAGACTTGGCATAATACGAAGCGCAGTGGCGTTCTAAGATTTATACGGAGTGGCTTTGTTGTTGTTGTTGTAATGCAGTTCATTATTTAACGTGGGATTGTATTTCTTAATTTGTTTCCTTAATTTTTAAGGAGAATCTAGGTTTAGGTTGAACACCTTGTTCTAAAATGGTAAATTGGGACCCCTCATTTTCAAGCCACCGATCTCTTCTTCCCCATGAGTTAGTTTCTCAAGCCGTCCTACTTCTGTTGCCCGCACAGCACAAATTGTGAAACATTTAGTCTCATTGGCATTTAGTTAGGTAGACCGCTAGTTGGGTATGCCTTTGGTTAAAAAGAAATCAAGTATAATTTTCCAATTTTCGCTAAGGGTTCTTCCATTATGTGTACTAAATAGAGCAAGATCCTCCACTGCTTCCAATGTTGTTCTCGTTTGAGGGGTTGATTGTGAATAATTAGCAGTCTCACTTCTATATTAGATTATTTGTAACATTCTTCTGTTTTTTTTACCTTTATGGTTAAATTGTAGATTTTTTTGGATAGATTTGGTGTGAACTTACTGTACGTTTCTTTCATATTGATGGCTCTCAGTATGATGTGTACGGAAACCTGTTCGGGCTCCTTGCAGCACACCCAGTGGCACCCTTAGTGACAATGCATCACCTGGATGTGGTTGAGCCCATCTTCCCCAATGTGACCCGTATTCAAGCCCTTCAGCGGCTTTTTATACCAGTGAAGCTGGACTCGGCGGGAATCATACAACAATCCATCTGCTACGACAAATCAAAGAGCTGGACCATTTCAGTTTCATGGGGCTTTGCTGTTCAAATTTTTCGGGGAGTCTTTTCACCCCGCGAGATGGAAATGCCTTCCCGGACGTTTTTGAATTGGTACAGAAGGGCAGATTACACAGCATATGCATTCAACACTCGTCCAGTCAGCCGAAACCCATGCCAGAAACCTTTTATCTATTACTTGTCAAAGGTAAGGTTTAATGCGACAACGAATTCAACAGTCAGCGAGTATGTCCAGCATCGTACCCCTCATCCCCACTGCAAGTGGAAGATGGCTAATCCTTCCAATCTCTACAAAGTCGAGGTTCATAAGAAGCCTGACCCGCACCTATGGGATAGAGTAAGTATTTTCAAGACCTTGTACTCTTCCTCTGTTGTCTCGTGATACGACCAAAACAAAAACTCTCACTAACGCGTTTTCAATTGCTTTGTTTTTGGGCAGTCTCCGAGGCGAAATTGTTGCAGGATCATGGAGTCGAAGAGGAAGGGGACCATGGTGATAGATGTTGGTTTATGTAAAGAGGGTGAGATCAGTGAAATATAAGCACCCACCATTTGATCAAAGTTAGGAATTTGAAGCAGCTTCTTTTCCCTTTTCTCCAATTGATTATTTAGGGTTCATTGTTTCTTAATTTGTTATGTTTTAAGTTCCAAATTTTGTGTCTTTTGGGGGTGTCCATTGCCAAAACAAGCTTTACAAAGACAGAAAAAGAATATTTCATGTACAAAAGTTGTAGGCTACAACATTCCACACTTGTCTCTGAGCAGTTAAATTGTTATTCAATTTATTTGGATTTTGGAGTGAATTTTATGATGGTAGATCTTTGGATTTTCTCTTTTTTTATTTTTCCCCCGAAGATGGTAGATCTTTGGATTGGATCCATGTGCTTGTTATGTTTGCTTCCGTTTACCATTTGTGGAACTTGCTCGTTTAGACGAGGTGATGAGTGTTGTGACCAATTTGGGAGGAACTAGATTTCCATGGGTGACACATTCTAGGGATGTAGGATTCATTTGGAAATGTTTTTAAAATGATTGAAATTCTTTTAGCTAAAATGTATTTGAGTTTCAAAAGAATTTAAAAGGCTTCTTGCAAAAAGTATCAATTATGTATTTTTTGTACGCTTTTTAAATTTCCCGTACGTTTTTGAAAATTTGGCAATATTAATAATTTTGGTAGAACTTTAGTATTCTGGTTCAATAATTGACAAAATTAGGAGATTTTATAGATATTTCAGTGCAAACTTTAGTAATTTTGGGTGCAATTTGGATCTAAGGTTTCTTCACCAAAATTTTACCAAAGTTATCGAATCACGGAAGTTTGTGCTTATAACCGTTCATATCATAATTTACTTTGTAAAGATCATCAATGCAAAAAATCAATGAAATATGAGATCGTTTAGTAATTGAATTGGATAAAAAAAAAATTGTCGGATAGGGTAAAAATATTACAACCGTCTGTCTATTTGCTAAAATTAATTTGTTAAATAACCTAATTTTAAATTGATTTTTGGCAGACATAATCTGTACAAAGTTATCTATAATATAAACAGTTGTGATCGTAAACACAAAATTCGTAAATCGGTATTAATGTTATCTTGAGAGCAACTTCTCCTCAATCTTATACGTATTGGATTCCTACATGCTTGTAGCTTGATTTTGTGACAATTTAGTTAAGAGAAATTGAGTGGTCCCTCCACCACATAAATTTCATTTTGGTTTTTCACAATCTTTATTCTTTGCTTTATTCTGTTGTATCGTGCATGTTCTTGTTCTAGCCTTCTAGGTGAGATTGACATTTTGAAACATGACCCTGGTGTCTCGTGTCACTCTAAGATCATCTCCAATGGTTAGGTTAAAAGTCAAATATTTTAGCCCAAAAAATTTAGTTTTTAGCCCAGAAATAGCTTTTCTGCTCCAATCATTCTAGCCTAAAATTTTAGCCCGGGATTATTAAAGAATGAACTTAGGCTTTTTTTTTTTTGTTAAATTATTATTATTATTATTATTTTTAAATGTAGACTATCGTAAATTAATTTTGTGAACATTTTAATCTAAAAAAAAATTTAAATTCCGATAAATATTGGGTGGAGTCTACTCCGATTTCTGGGCTAAATTTTGGGGGGAATTTGGCCTTAGTTTAGCATTTAGCATTTAGCCCAAATTTTCCCCTTGGGTTGGAGTGAGTTTGGAGGGAAATTTTGGGTGGTAATTTGGCTTTTAGCCCACCATTGGAGTTGGTCTAAGCATCAATATAAAGTCGGTCATGTTGCCAACTACAAAATAAGACCGACCGTGATGGGAGATGTATTCATGGATTCGAAATACAAATCAATACATTATGTATCTTAATATAATTGGAGAACGAATATAATTTTTAGTATTCCTTCATTAATATAAACACACGTAAAATGTCGTCTCATGCTTTAAAAATAAAGAAAACTAATGAAAATGGCTTAAAAACTTTGGGTTTTAACGAAAATGACAAAATAAAGGGTAAAGTGAATAGTACTAGGATTGACTTTTTAGTGTAAAATTGTGGTTGTTCGTTAAAGTGAACAGTATCAGAAGCTTTTTGTTAAAGTTTCCTTAAAAATAAGCTTATTTTTAGTTGCGTCCTTTGAAATTTTATTTTAATCTTATTTTACTCACTCTGACTCAAAAATTACTACTTTACTCTTTGAAACCCAAAAATTTATTTCACTTTGACTTGTGAACTTTCTCTTCTCTCTTAAACTTATAGGTCACCTCCTGAAACATATGTGTGGCCTAATACCTAATAAGATTATGCCACATGTGCAATAATTTTGATTATAAATCTTCATTATGCATGAACATCAAACAATAAGAGAATATTAAGTTAAAAAAAAGAAATTGATTAGCCTATCGCATCTAAATCAAACCCACATAAGAAATTAACAGATCTAAGGCAACGTGAAATGAATTTAGAGTTTCATAGAGACAACTTTCAAGTTTTTGAGATAAAATGGGATCAAAATCGAGTTATAAGGGGTAAAATGAAGTTAACTCTGAGTTTCTGAGAATAAACTAACGATTATTGAATTACAAAGAACAAAGTTAAATTAAAATTGAGTTCATGAGGGCATAACTAAAAATAAGTCTCCAACATGATTAATGTTAATATGTATACAGATATATCAGAGAGAATTATCAAGAACTAGAGAGAGAAAGTAAGAAGATAGAGAGAGAGAGAGAGATAAATGAATTTATTGTTTGTATTAATTTCTTACACAAGAAGTCATTACACTTAGACTTATATAGGAGCCAAATACATGTAACTAACTAAATGCACAATCTGTTGACAGTGTCACAATCACATAACACTAATATATCCTAACATCCCCCCTCAATCTCATGTTTGGATGAACTAAGCATGAGATTGTTACAATGAGACCTAAACAAAGGAGAACTAAGTCCTTTTGTTAAAAGATTCGCAAACTGCTCCCTGGAATACAAACTGAACCATGAGACGCTGTTTGGCAACCTGTTCACGCACAAAATGAACATATATCTCAATGTGTTTCGTACGTTGATGTTGAACAGGATTAAAAGACAGAGTTATTGCGGAAAAATTGTCACAAAATAGAACTGGAGTTGCTGGAAGTTTGATGTGCAGAAACTCAAGAAGTTGTTGCATCTAATCAAGTTGAGCTGAAGTCAAAGACATATCCCAATATTCAGCTTCTGTAGAAGATCGTGACACCGTATTCTGCTTCTTGGAAGACCACGAAATGGGATTGCCACCTAAAAACACAATTAAGCATGTTGTAGACCTTCAATCATTAAGGTTTCCAGCCCAATCTGCATCACTAAAGGCTTTTAACTGTAAATCACGACCAGAATAGGATATACCAGAGGTCATAGTACCCTTTAAATATTGCAATATTATCTTGACTGTAGTGTAATGAGAAACCATAGGGGCCTGCATAAACTAACACACTTGATGAACAAAAAATGTAATGTACGGCCTAGTGAAGGTGAGATACTGCAATGCACCAACTATACTTCAATAGGTTGCAAGATTGTTAAAAGGAGAACCATCATCCTTGAGTAATCGATTGTAAGGCAAGCACGGTGTATCACAAGGCTTGCAATCAACCATTTCTGCTTTCTGTAATAACTCTTGTATATACTTGGTCTGAGACAAGAAAAAACCTGTACCAGTTCGATCAATTTGGATGCCAAGGAAGTAATGCATATTTCCCAGATCTTTAATATCAAATTCAACTGTAAGAGAGTCAATTACTTGTTGAATGATAGAAGAAGCACTACTAGTGACAATTATGTCATCAACATAGAGTAATAAAATCACAATCTCAGTACCAATATGCTTAACAAACAGAGAAGAATCAGCATAAGTGGATGCAAAACCAAGAGAAGGAAGAAAAGTGGTGAACCTCTCATTCCATGCCATTGGGGCTTATTTTAACCCATATAAAGATTTGTACAATTTACATACTAACTCAGGATGGTTTGGGTCTTCAAACCCTGGAGGCTGAACCATATATACCTCTTCTTGCAACAAGCCATGTAGGAACGCATTTTTAATCGAGCTGCCTCAACAGCCATTTAAAATGTGAAGCCAAAGCTAGAATTAACCTGATAGTAGTAGGTTTGATGGCAGGGCTAAAAGTTGCCCTATAATCTAGACCAAGTTCCTAACTAAACCCCTTAGCTACTAACCTAGCTTTATGCTTGGAAATAAAACCATAAAGACTTCTTAAGCTTGAAAATCCATTTGTAGCCTACTAAGTTTTTCTGAAATGGTAATGCAACCAAACTCCAAGTTCCCTGAGTATGCAGTGCTTCTATCTTTTCTTGCATGACTTTATACCAAACAGGGACCTTAAGTGCAGTATAGGTTGCAAGTTCACACATTGATAAATCAACAGAACTAGAATCACTGAGAGTCCTGAGGAATGCTTTCTTCTTAATAATACCATTCTTATTCCGAGTTTGCATAGGATGCATATTTAAAGGAGTAATAGGCAACAATGGTTGCAGTTGAGTAGGACTGAACTCAGGATCCTCATGGAGTAAGAAGGAAGAGCTTGCTAAAACAATAATGGACTGAGGAGATGATGCATTTGTGGAATTCAAAGTAGAATAATCTAGGGTTATAGGGGTGGAAATTAGTTGTTGAGGTATGGAAGATGATGTTTGTTCCACTGCTAAGGGTATTGTAGGATGAACAATAGTATTGGTAAGATTAGGTAGTGGTGGAGCTGAAGATGCAAGTGATGATTCACATGATATGAAAAATTTGTTAGATTGAGCTAGCAAATGTTGGTAAGGAAATGTGGATTCATCAAACACAACATGCCAAGATATATATATATATATATCCTACCTTTCAAAACATCATAACAAATGAAGCCTTTATATTTAGAGGCATACCCCAGAAAAACACACTCAGTAGTTTTAGGTTGTAATTTGGAATTGTTACAGGGCTTTAGTAAAGGAAAACATGAACACCCAAAAACTCTAAGATGAGTAATGACAGGAAATGTACCAAATAGTAACTCAAATGGAGACTTATGTTTTAAAACTAGTGTAGGCATCCTATTGATTAAATAGGCAGCAGCCTGACAAGCAAAGGACCAGAAATGGGAGGGAAGCTTAGCATATTGCAGAAAGGTAACAGTGGTTTCTATAAGATGCCTATGTTTTCTTTCGGTCAGGCCATTTTGCTCAGGAGTATATGGACAAGAGATTTGATGTAACACCCCTTTAACCTTAAGAAAAGCTTGTAGTTTATGATTTATGTACTTTCCCCATCCATATGTTTGTAAAGTCTTAATAGTTGCAGAAAAATGAGCTTGAACAAATGCATAAAAAGAGACAAATGTATCAACAAAGTCTGATTTATTTATAAGTGGGAACACCCAACAGAATCGAGTACACTCATCAATGATAGTTACATAGAATTTGAAACCATCAATTGAATTACATGGTGCAGGACCCCAAAGGTCACTGTGTACAAATTCAAAAGGTATTTGAGATTGATGAGTACTAGATTGAAAAAGCAGTTTAGAAAATTTCCCTTTTAGGCAACTATGACAAACTATTGGTACATCATCTTTGGAACACCTAATATTAGCTTTACTTAGCATAGTAGAAACAATAGTATTGGTAGGGTGACCTAACCTACAATGCCAAAGAGATGAACTAATAAGTTGTCCCAGATATGCAAAAACCTTGATATTACTTGGTGAATAAGAAAAATGATGTTTGGCAAGGGATGGGATGAGGTAAAGTCCATTACTGCATAGCCCTTTATAGATGATCCTCCATGTGGCTTTGTCCTGAATCCAAAAACAGAATGCATAAAAAATCAACCAACAATTGTTATCAAGACAAATTCTATGTACTGATAATAGGTTCTGAGATAACTTGGGCACATATAAAACATAATTTAATTTGATATGATGTACTGGTGTATAAATATCAGTGCTGCCAACATGAGATACTTTCAAATCTTCTCTATTAGCAATTTGAACTGTCTCATTTATTACATATGGAGAGGCTAAAGACAAGTTACTAAGATCAGTGGTCATGTGATTGGTGGCCCAGAATCAGCAAGCCAAAGTTGTGGAAAAGTCTGTGATGAAGATGCCTGAGAAGAGGATAGAACCATATTCTGCATTCCTTGTATAGAGGTTGAAGAGTAAGATGGAATCATAGTATGCATAGCTTGCATTGCAGGCTGAGAAGGAAACTGAGGTGCTGAAGGAGCATAGGAATACTGAACCATGGATGGTTGTTGTGGACAATATATGAATGAGCCTTATCATTGTAAAAGCAAAACCAAGTAGTGCGGTTAGTCTTCCCACAAATCTGGCAACTAGATTTATCCACTGTTTTGGAATGGCAAAATGTTGTGTAGGATAACCATAAGCATTACACAACTGACAAAAAACAGATTGAGCAAAAGACACAGTTGGAGATGGACCAATGACACCTGAGGTAGGGACATGAGTCTGATTAAAGAACTGTTGTCTTGGTGCATAATACCTATACCCTTGATTGAACTTTCCTTTACCCTTCTACTTATTATTGTTGAACTACTTAAAACCACTAGTGTGACCATGAGATGCTCCAGCAGATGAACTATATGTCACATGACCAGGATTAGATTGAGTAGAATAAATGGAAGACTTAGGTTCAGAAACGGTATTGGTATTAGCAACCATGGCAGACAAAAACTGAGATGATACATTGCTCTCCACAATTAGTTCTTCTGCTAGTAACTGAGACCTAAAATCTTTAAGAGAAATTACACTTTCTCTGCCTTGAATAACACATCGGAAAGTATTGTACTCAAGAGGCAAACCATTAAGTGCCAATATGACAATGTCCTCATTAGCAAAGTAAACCCCAATAGCAGACAAGTAATCTCGAGCTTCCTTAATTCGTTGCAAATTCTTAGACACAGAATCTGACCCCTTCTTAATAGTTTGCAGATTAGATTTCATCTGAAATATGTTGTTCTTGGAATAGTAGAGAACTGTTCTTTCAATCTATTCCAAAGATCATAGGCACTAAAACTACCAATAGCACAAGAAATGGCAGCAAGTGATAAAGTCGCAGTAATCAGTTGCATCAATGCTCGATCATGCATTTTCCAAACAATATAGGCATCATCCTCGATTTGAGAAGAAGAATCACCAGAGACTATACCAGATTCACTCAAATTAACAATAAATTGAGAAGGACAGAGATTGGAGCCATCAACAAACTGCATAATTCCATGACCTTCTAACAATAATTGCATTTGAAATTGCCAATTCAAATAATTCATATCATTAAGCTTAATATTCACAGAAGTAGAAATTATGGAAATGAGAGCAGTAATTGCTTCAATCTGAAGTTGTGATGCAATTACCATATTTGCAAACTTCAAAGGAAATTGTCACTTAGACAACATAACAAACACTTGGTGTGCAGTAAACCTTCAACACAGCGTCAAAGATCCCAATTTGCAATAAACCCTAGAAAGTAAGAGAAGAAGATCGTCTATCGCATAGAGAGAGAACATGATCGCGAGCTAAAACTGTAGAGGCTATATCAGATTGGAGAAGTGGAAGCAATAGAAGGATTGAACAGATTAGCGTGAGCATATCCGTCAATTGATACCATGCTAATATGTATACAGATATAGCAGAGAGAAAGTAAGAAGATAGAAAGTGAGATGAATGTATTGTTTGTATTAATTTCTTACACAGGAAATCAATACAGTTAGACTTATATAGGAGCCAAACACATGTAACTAACTAACTAAATAAATGCACAATTTGTTGACAAGTGTCATGATCACATAACACTAATATATCCTAACAATTAAATCATACCTCTTAGCTCATTTGTTTTAACGAATTAATATTTAATAATGCTTTTTTTAAGTGCCAAAAGGAAACTTTCAAATGGTACTGGGATCGATGCTTAAATTAATTAATTACTAAACATAGTATTAGAGATTTCTAGCATTTCAGAATACGAAACAGAGAAAGCAGTGCTTCATTGTCTCTTTATTATTTAATTACATATTAAACCTTGTTCGTGTCCTTTGCAGAGAGGCCACCAAAGTTTCAGAAATATTTTATTAGGTTCAAATCATATTTAATTATACTTAATTAATAAATTATTATTATTGGACTGTTTAGTGGACTCTGGAGGTAAGACCTCCATTAGGTATTTCAAAATGGCTTATTAGCCAAAATAGTTCTTGAAATTTATATAACACATCATTTTGGTTTTTGAAATTTGAGATCAATAGAAGTGATTTCTGAGATTGTCTACTATCAATCATTTTGGTTATTCTGTGCAAAATTATGTTAAATAAGGATCAAAATGACATATGCCTTCAATTTAATAAACAATAGGCCAAATGATTTGGTAAAAATTAAGGATATTTGGGTCATTCTATTCTTATTTAGTGGAGATTTTTCATGAAATGACCAAAATGATTGATGGTGGACAAACTCAGGGACCAATTCTATTGATTTCAAATCTTATGGACCAAAGTGAGGAGTTATGGAAATCTTAGAGACCATTTTGACTTAAAAAAACCTTTCAAAATTCAAAGGAAAAGAAAACTTATGGAATTTTTGATATGGTACTATCAAGTTACACTTCATCACTTATCAGATCGGACAATTTCTAACTTTAAATTTGCCTTTTATGTGCATATTTGGACTAGTGTTTTAAAAATTGACCTAAGCAACCATCTAGGCGCTAGGCGGTGGAGGACCGATGCAATTTAGACTAAAACGCGGAGAAAAATCGGGTAGTTACTAGGCGAGCTAGGGGTCTAGGTGGAGGCTAGGCGGTTCCATTGTTTTTATTTTTATTTTTTAATTAAATTACAAGGTTTTTCTGAATAACCTACTGAATTGGTGAATTTTCAATTTTTGG